TTTGTACGCAGGAAGAATCTGAGTTGTTTGTTCCCTTAAAGGTCACCTATCATGCTATTTTTAGGCAATAGCATAGGTCTCAGATATATACAAATATATAAAAAACATGAAGTGTTTTGCTCAAAATACCCAGACAGATCACCCATTCTAGCCATGCCTCATATCCCTCTATTTCACTTCCTGTTTCAAAAGTGCTGATTTTGGGTATAAAGCTTTATGCCGGTCATACCACAAGGTGAGTTCCTTTTTATTTCCTGCTTCAGCACACACATGCTCTGTGTAGTACAGGTTAGCTCTGAGTGTTAGCGATGCTAATGTAAACACTGACCATATTACGTCCAAAACAGTCGGGCATTGTTTCTGATAGCAACATTTCTGATAGTGCTGTGGGTCCGCCGCCGATTTGATGTCATATCGGCGGAAAATCTGGATCAGCTCCGTTGAAGCCCCGTTTTTTGAGATTTGGGTACGGAGGAAAAGAGAGAGTGTTTTATTTTCCCTGACACACATATTTATGCATAAAAGACATAAAAAAGTGCATTTTGCATGATAGGTCCCCTTTAAGTTTATACCTTCGATCACAGCAACCTGAGTTTGAAGTGAATAAACTTTTTGTTTATCCTCATTGGGGTTCTTCTATACTCAAAACAAAAGTACAAGGTTAATGGGATAGAGCTGAGAGAGGAATTATGCAGGATTATGCAAATGGGGGAGCTAATATGATTATTGTGTTCACTCTCTGTAGGCTGATGAGATTACTTTAAGTGTCAGATGGTGAATAATTGTCTAACATTATGTTAATGTATGACAGTTAACTTCTGACCTGTGTCTGGACCTTGATTAATAACAATGTTTTAAAACCTTCTCCCATAATTTACTTCGTTTTGGAGGATCTGTATGTCCCCTATATATTTCCCTACATGTTTTTAATTTGTAAATTGGTAGCCTGAGTCTCTTTAAAATGTAAGTTAAGACAGAGATAAAAAGATGCTGTTGATCATTTATCAATCTGTGAAATAATTGTGCTTCATAAAATATCTTGGTAGTCTGCAAGCTACTGTGCCTGCTGAGCAAACTGCTTACTTGTTGTTAGCTAGCTAGCAACCTGCAAGCACAGGTCTTAAACATTAGCCAGAGTAATATTGTATACAGTTTGTTAAAAATATATTTTCTTTCCACAAACTCAAAAAAAGATATGTATATATGTTGGATAGCAAGGTTAACCAGAAGTTTGATTTAGGGTTAGGGTTAGCTTGGGAGCTCCCTTTCCTTTCTCTCTGGCTCTTGCATGACATTTCAACTGTTTACAAAAGTTACAGTCTATACAATAGCTCCAAGTGAATTGTCACAACTTCACTGCAATCAATTAGTTCTGGTTCGTTGTCATTTTAGTTGTGACAAAGGCCAATAGAGAGCAGCTGTCCATCCACTTCAAAGTACTCGGCTCAGAATGACATCCCTGTCCCCGATTATACTGACTATGGAGGGAAGGAGGGGCCCTCCAGACCCTCTCATCCCCCGAGGGCCATCGTCACAGCCACGTCTGGGGAAAGTGTGAATCAAGGATCTCACAGCCAGGCCGTTACGCCTCCATCTGGGACTCTGAATTAAACATCAGCTAGGCAGACAGGCTCCCTGCCCAGAGCTTGAGGGACAGGGAACAGGGGCCAATTAACCCATGCCCGGTCCTTTCAGACCTTTCTTTGTAGCAATTAAGAGGGCACATTACAGACGGGAGAAAAAACTGATGATAAAACGGTTGGGTTTAATTTGACATCAGGCACAAATGGTTCTGTTCGTAATAAATCATAAACCTTTGGCAATTATTGAAACATTTATTATTATAAACACAGTGGGAGTGCCCTCAATAATAATAATTATGAAAAATCAGGGTCTTCTTGTTGTGATGTTTAGTTTACCTAAAGAGATTATAGTCATTTAAAAATAACTGTGCTCTTTTGGAGTCATTTCAGTACTGAACATGGAAACTCTTGCGTTGACCTCATGTCACAAGTTTTTCTTCACCACAACACAGTTCCTCTTCTTAATCTCTGTCAACAGTCTAGTGTTAGGAAATACTTGCCAATGAGACAAGGACAGGAATTATAGCAAATGAGGACTAGAAGTTAACATATTTATTTCTTCTTCCATTGTAACAGACGGATCACAGATGTGGCTCAAGCTTCCAGTACAACAACCTTGATATGTTTCACAATAAAACTGAAGATTGAGCAAATAAAGAAACCACAAAAGTCATCTTTTTTCTAAGAAAATAAAAAATATATAGATTGTATAGATATTGTAGAGATATGAGGTGGAAACACCAGTTTCCCTAGATTGTGGATATGAAAAACATTAAGGCTGACAAGAGGCAGACTGAGGTTGATTTACCTTTAGTGGTGCTGTGTGTGTCCCTGATGAATATATTGTTAATATTGTGCAGGCTGCAAGTATTTGGACAGTGATATGTTTTTCATTCTCTTGGCTTTAGTTCATCTCATTGCTTTCAAAATGAAACACTTGCTATGAGTGTGTTTTTCATTTGGCGAGAGGCACAGGGTATATATGAACATTGATATAATTTTTAACTGGTTAATAAGATGTGGATGTTAATACGATTAAGTTAAAGATGATAGATGGTGTATGAATTTCATACAGACATTATAGTCTCATTTAAAACACTGCAAAGAATCACAGAGGCAAAACTGAAATGTCCCACTACTCACAAACTGTCCCCACAGCCACAATGAATCTGAACGTTGGTCCCCTGCAGAGCAAATGTCCTCTTAATTGGCAATGATTTATCCGTGGATGGTGTTTGTTTAATGAGAATTGAGAACCAAAGGCATAACATTAATGGGGAGATTTATCATTGTATGGCTTGTATAAAAAAAAAGTTTCCATTTTCCAAAGCATTAATATTTTTGATGGTGTTTCCAGATGGGGAACGTACAGTACCAGATTGGATAGAGAAGGTTCAGACTTGGAAAGAAAACCTTTGTTGGTTCATGTCAGTTATAATATAAAACGCAAGTACACACACACACACACACACACACACACACACACACACACACACACACACACACACACACACACACACACACACACACACACACACACACACACACACACACACACACACACACACACACACACACACACACACACACACACACCTATTTGTAAGCTGGCACAGACAATTATTTGGGATAGATATAATCTTTACAACATTTGCAACCAGGAATTCATTGCATTCGGCTTTCAGTATACGCCCCCTCCGAAAAGCTAACATTTGACATCAATCTATTCCCTCAGGGTAGGAAAAATTGTAATGACGGTGAAACTAAAAGAAACAGGTGTTCTTCCTTGCTATGCTTATCTGTGAAGGTGCTGAGAGTTACAGAAAGATTGTGAATCACTGCTAATTGCATGAGATTATAGTTGCGGTGTGCAAAATGAACTCATTCTAGTGTAGCTCGAGCCAACGCAGTTATGATAGTACTTTGGAGGTTTGTAGATGAATTATAACATGACAAGGGTATTTCTAGATGTTAACTGAACAATGACTTTGGTTTACTGGAAACGCTGTAGGGGATTTACAGAAAGCTCGCTTGATTATGATGTGCATTTGAAGAGCTAATTTGTCATTTAATAACATAAAAAAATGCCAACTCAGTTTTCCGATCCACCTAATAAAAAATGAAAGGATAGTGTGCCACTTGGAGACTTATAATTTTGAAACCACAAAGCCAACTGAGGTCAGAATAGCTAGGATTGTCTGAAGTGTATGTTATGTTTCGCAAAGGAAAGACTGTTTTGCGGCTTCATGTATGACAGCTCTTTCCTCAAGGGAAGATTTATTGAAATTGTTTAATTAAATCTTAAATTGACAGTTAAGCCCCACCTCTAATTATAAATGACAGTGTAAATGCTCTTTAGTCGGGCTGCTTGCTCAACTGATATTTAAAACTGGCATAATTGTGTGTATTTAATTGCTTTATCAAGAAAGGCAGCCATGACTAAACTAATTTATAGGCTAGACAAATACAATTCATTTGTATTATTTGACAGGCAAAAAGCATAATTAATGAATAAAGAAGAATAACCTAAAAGCCAGGAGGGAAATATCTGACTAATAATAAATCTTGAAACTCATTTCATGCTATTTCTGTAACTTAATATACTTTGTGTCTTAACTCGATATATTACACTGTGCTTTGGTGTCTGCGTTTTGTTTGCAGGACAAACATCTAGCCAGGTATTACTTCACAGATATTCATGATCTGTGAATTGATACTTGACAAAATATATATTGTTCACCTCAGAAGTGTAATGCTGTACAAGCCAAGATTTTGAACAGGCAAAAAAATACATTAATATGGAGTAAAAGCATGTTGTGTTAAGTGACCAGACGAAGGTGCAGGAGATTGTGTCAGCTTCTTTGGGTTTAGTCCAATTGACAAACTTTCCCAAGGCAAAGTTTGTCCGTCTTTGATTTTCAACAGTTTGCTTTGATTTTGTTATTCTTGTCCTACTTTAAGTCATAAGTAGCATTTATTTGAGCCAGTAGTAAAAGTGCTATTATTTGCTCCTTTTTCTTTATTTTACATACATTAAACACACAACCCAAACAAGTAAAATTAATCAACCAGAAACGGAATATCTATAAGATAGATTTCATAATGTAGCAAATCTTACTCAACTGCAATCTTTTTTTCTAAACAGAAGTAAAACAACATATGATGTGGTAATGGTGGTTCAGCAATGTTTTACTTGCAATTGTTTTGCCATTGGGTCATGCTTATTGCAGTAAATTGCAACATAGGACACATATGTGTATGTATATATATATTTTCCATGTGGGCAGAAAATGTTGGTTGCCACATGACTTTAACCAAGTTTTTGTCATCATCAGAGAACTGAAAGCAGACCTGACTAATAGCGTTTCCTTCCTTCCTTAAAACCGACTACTATTCAAGGACATATCATTTCAGTTCCTGCCACTCATTTGGACAGGACTGCTTCTTGATTTTTATACAGATACGTTGATCTAGTCTTATATACCATGGCGTGTCTTGCTGCCACTCTTGGTCTCGTCCTTTTTTCAGGAATCATGGATCTCTCAGCAGCAAACAAAGACCCTTGTGATTTGTATGCCTTAGTTGGACAGAATCTAACTCTGCCGTTTGTCTTTGAGGGACTTGGGGTACATGAGCTGAGATGGACTCATAATACAAAGATCATTTTCCACGGACAGCAGAGCAGAGTGTCTCATGGAAAAGCAGAGGACATCTCTAAAACCGGATCTCTTTTCCTGAAGAACCTACAATTCTCAAGTGCAGGGATCTACCGAGCAGATGTTGTGAATCCCAATCGTACTCTGGCTAAAACATGGCATGGCAGTCTCTGTGTGATGGACAAGGTATCGAAACCTCAACTCACTTACATTTGTGATAAGTCAAGTGCTGTTATTCTAAATTGCAATGTAGCAAATCCCCAGGGTTTGACGTTTTCATGGACTGTCTTCATGGATGATAAGACTTTAAGCGAAACTAAACAAACCCTGAGCATATCATTGGCACAGCAGAAAGTTGTGCGGAGCTTTACATGTAGTGTGGCAAACAAAGTCAGCGAGGAGAAGAGTGACACTGTCCGTCCATACTGTGAAAGTCCACCACCGCCATCTTTGTTCGGTTTGAAATCCCAAATCCTTGTTTTAGCAGTGCTGGCAGGAGGGCCAGGTCTGATTCTGCTTTTGCTCGTCATAATCATCACATTATGTTGTCGCTACAGACGCATCAAAACACAAATGAGACGCAGGGATCAAGAGGGGCTTAGGATGCCTTCTCTAAACAAACTAGAGTCTAACTTCAGCTCAGTTTATGAGACAATGCACCAAACTGAGGACGCTCCAACCGTGAGTCAAACTTCTTTACCCAAATACTGTTGTGAGAATGTTACACAACCTGAAGCTCGGACTGAAAACAAGCCAGCACAGCTGTCCGCAGATGCTGAAGGACAAAAACCTTCCCCTGTGCCGAAGCCGAGGACGAAGGGCCCCAAGGCACCAAACATCTGAATGTGCCATCCCAGGATCTAAGACATATAAAGGCTTATTTTTTTACCTTCATAATGTACAACTGAATCCAAATTAAATTGCCTTTGTTACTTGTATACTTACATGGATGGTGTAAATAGATTTTAGAAGTATGTGTGTCTAAGGACAATTAGCTTAATCATGATATGCTGTGGACCTGCAGAGTAGAGTTTGAAGCAGCAACATCTTCTTTTTCGCTGCAACTTCAAAATTGATATCATGGCTCATATATGTGGAATTGTCCTCATTAATGTTTTTAATTCAGCCAATATAGTGGTGGGGGTTCAAAGTCGGTGCAAACGAGGTGTTGTCTGATCACAAGTACATATGAGACAGGAAACTGCGGAGGAATTTCAATATTGATGTATTGTTTATAATTTGTTAAGGTTACTGATGGTCTTATCTGCTTCTTTTCTTCTTTAACTGTAAAGCCAATGTTCTTCTGTGTCATGAATAAAGACATTTCCAGACGTTGTGGAAAAAATCTGAAAAAATCTGACCATGCGTTGACCTGAACTTTTCACTCTCTGACATATTTTCGTATATTTCTTAACACTTCTACTGAAACTTGCATACACTTAAATATTTTTTCCATTGAGTTTCTGTTATATAGATTAATCACACTATGTATACATATTTTGCTATTGAAATGAATATGGATCTTATATTTGTAAGAAAAACTTATCTCTGTGAAACACGGTCCTCTGTTCCTACTTCTTGGATGTCAGCATTCTTGCACTTATTAAAATGTGCTTGCTTGCAAGAAGTTATTAATAAAGGGAAAATAATCAATAGAGGAATGGATTAGCTAAGGAAAATATCTATTATCTCCAATGGGTAAATGGTAATCCACACATGAAAGTGTTTGCTGTCTCGCCTAATGCTGTGTGACAGCAACATAATGGAATCCCCCTGAGCATCATCGCCTAAAACTTACAAGCCAATGTCATCTTTTGTCGGGCCATGCTCCTCTCCTGCGCTCTCTACATGGCTGAAATTTCAGTCAAGCCGGCAGGGATTTGGCAGTAAAGCTGGTATTGGCTCCTGGAACAATGCCATTTGTCTTTCTTGAGAAACACTGAGACTTGGCTGGCAACATGCCACGTCACTTCCCCACATCAGCTAAAAATGTGCACCATGTACTGTAGATATGAAGAAAGGGAAACACACATGCACAAGCTAAATGATCACGTACAGCACACAAACAGCTGAATTATGTTAATTGAGTCAACTGAATCTCCAACAACATACAGTTTCTTCTCAGGGTAAGACGTCTTAAGCTGCATATTTAGCCTGAATGTCATTGATCCATTTGATATTCATCAATATATTTATGGGGACACCATGTTACCATGGGGACAGTGACACTCTGGCCCCTTCACCTGCAAAACGTTACTTAAAGGTCTCCTATTATACTGTTTTTCATCAATATATAATAGATCTCAGATATACAAAACATGTCTCTGAAGATTCAGGTGATGAGGTGGGGGGAGGGGGTGTTACCTTGGTTGGTTATTTGCAAGCCAAAAAATTGTTATGACATCATAAAGTGGCCAAAATCTGATCAACTTTCAGAATCTCTTTACAAAGAGGGAACATATGTTTATGTATAAAAGACATGAAAAAGTGGATTTTGCAGGTGACCTTTAAGGGGACATGTAGCAACCATGAAGAAGTGTCAAAGGGGGATAATTATACAATAAATTCAAAACAACTGCAGAAAGAAACCAAAAAACATCAAAAAAGGGACTTCACATCAATAAATATAGACCCAGAATAACACAATAGCCGAAGTAGGCTACATAGTTCAATAGTGTTACCTTATATGGCATATTAGGAATTCTAGAGAAGAATTCTGCTCCGGAATGTTCACAACCAGGGACGTGCACAGGTACGGGCTATGTTGGCCTTTTTGGCTGACTTTCCCCTCTGGAGAGAGCGAGAGTTTGTTTTTCTTTTTTCTGTTGTGGCCCAATCAACATGATGAGCCCACAATTAGTATTGTAGCGTCTCGCTGCGGGAAACACACTTTGTCAGCGCTGTCATCTGCCGGTGCGTTAAGACCACCTCAGTGTCGGATTTTGGAAACTTGATTTTGAGTTATCTCATGGCAGTTAGGGTATAAGGGACAAACCAGGGGACTTTACTTCCTCTTGATACCGTCGGTTATTTACAAAAAAACACCTAAATATAGCCTATATGTTATTGAGCTTCTGTCTTTCTGTGTCTTTCCATCTGTAAACTCCCTCAATGGGGCCGCTCGCTCTCTTTTCTTGATTGCCCTCT